AGGACGGGTCGCCCCAGATCCTGATAACCACAGACGAGATATTCCCTCTGCTGTTACCTAATCATCAGATATCCTCCTATTACCTTATTCACTTGAGCGCCAGCACAGACAGGGTGTCGCAATATCCATTGATTCTTAGGAGATAAATCCCCACATACAGTTAGAGACGCAGAGAGAGACACATGGAAACCTGATTCCTCACACAAAGTGCCCAATAACAATTAATGGGGCCAACAATCTCTCCTTCACCAGCACAGACGCCATGGGGAGAGAGAGGAGGGATGGGATTAGGGTAGAGAGCTCCAGTGGGGGAGAGAGCACCAGCACAGACGCCATGGGGAGAGAGAGCAGGGATGGGATTTGGGTAGAGAGCTCCAGTGGGGGAGAGAGCACCAGCACAGACGCCATGGGGAGAGAGAGCAGGGATGGGATTTGGGTAGAGAGCTCCAGTGGGGGCACGAGCACCAGCACAGACGCCATGGGGAGAGAGAGCAGGGATGGGATTAGGGTAGAGAGCTCCAGTGGGGGAGAGAGCACCAGCACAGACGCCATGGGGAGAGAGAGCAGGAATGGGATTAGGGTAGAGAGCTCCTGTGGGGGCGCGAGTACCAGCACAGACGCCATGGGGAGAGAGAGCAGGGATGGGATTAGGGTAGAGAGCTCCAGTCGGGTAGAGAGCACCAGCACAGACGCCATGGGGAGAGAGAGCAGGGAATGGGATTAGGGTAGAGAGCTCCAGTCGGGTAGAGAGCACCAGCACAGACGCCATGGGGAGAGAGAGCAGGGAATGGGATTAGGGTAGAGAGCTCCAGTGGGGGCGCGAGTACCAGCACAGACGCCATGGGGAGAGAGAGCAGGGATGGGATTAGGGTAGAGAGCTCCAGTCGGGTAGAGAGCACCAGCACAGACGCCATGGGGAGAGAGAGCAGGGAATGGGATTAGGGTAGAGAGCTCCAGTGGGGGCGCGAGCACCAGCACAGACGCCATGGGGAGAGAGAGCAGGGATGGGATTAGGGTAGAGAGCTCCAGTGGGGGAGAGAGCACCAGCACAGACACAGTGGAACTAATGGCTTCTTTGGATGGTGACATGAGCCTGGCTTCCTGCTTCAGTAGCCATGGTTACACCACACAACAGGAAGAGGAGAGTTTGCACAAGTCTTTAACTGGAATAACATGTGCACTAACAAAGGTCATCAGCAAACCATCTAAATCATTCTCTCATCTTTCTTTAATTTCTTCAGCTGATGGTGTCGGACATTGCTGTCAGTGTTCAGAGAGGTGAGAGCGTCTTTCTAATCCCTTCACTGTTACATCCACTTCCAAGTTCCTAATTGCTGTTGAGCCCTGTATCTGGAAAGCTTCCTGCTTCCCTCTCCAGCTTGGACCACCCTCACTGTTAGGGCTTTGACTTGCAGGGTTAGCAGGAGCTGAGTGGGAGGATTCCCTGCCCCCAGTGACTGCTCTCCCTTCCAAGTCCTGCTATCACCAGCAGTGCCTGGAATACTGCAGACCTTCCTGTCTAACGAACCGAACTAGAGACCATTACATTCCGTTGCCAAGCATCTAACTTTGTAGCCAGCGAAGCCCAAAGAGACACTATTTACCTAAGCCCCACTCTGGAACACTCTTCCTCTATCCCACCACATTGCCCCTTCCTTTTCCATCTTCAGGTCGCGCCTGAAGACCTTCCTGTTGGACCTTCCCCTCCCCCACCCCACCTGGGTTAGCATCGTGCTGCTTTTCCGTGAAGTGATTGGTGAAGATCCCTGACATGAGAGACGCTGTTGTTGTACAATTAATCACAATTCAGATTAATAATGGTTATAAATAATTAAAAGAATGTATCCAATTATGCTTACATATCCATGTATACCGTAGTTCACAACAATTTAAATTGATCAAAACAAATGCTGTGAGAGACATAGAGGAGCAATGTCCAATTTAATGTCCATTTTAATCTGTTCTTTTTAATCCAATTAGATATCCATCAAAAGGAATCCAATTATTGTTGTACAGTTCGATATCACTCAAGAGGTATCCAGATATTATTGTACGGTTTCCAGTTCGGTATCACCCAACAAAAACAACAAAATTACATCTATAAAGCGCCTTTCATGTTGGGAGAACGTCCCAAGGCTCTGGACAGAAGAGTTTTGGACCCAAGCTAGGGGTCGAGGTCGGGGAGTGTGTAGGGCACGGGATGAAGCAGGGAAGGAGTTCCAGAGCGTGCGGACAGAGTGGCAGAAGGCTCAACCGTCAATAGTGAGGCGAACGAGGCAGGGGACATGAAGCAGGCTTGAGCCAGCTAAGCGGTGGGGACGAGCATAATGGTAGGTTACAGAAGTAGGGGGGAGCAAGTCCATGGAGCAAGTCCATGAAGGTGAGAACCAGGATCTTGAACTGTATGCTCTGTGGGATAGGAAGCCAGTGGAGTCGGGCGAGATGGGGTTGATAGGGTCGCAGAGCCTAGTGTGGGAGAGGATGTTGGCTGCAGAGTTCTGGATGATCTGCAGCGTATGGAGGGAAGAGTTGGGAAGGCCGACAAGCAAGGAGTTTGCATAGTCGAGACTCGATGTAATAAAGCATGTATGAGGGTTTCTGCGGCCTACGGTGTAAAACAGTGGCAGAGCCGGACGATGTTACAGGGGTGGGGAAGGCAGAACGGGTCATAGTACAAATGTGGGGTAGAAAGGGTAGTTGAGGATCAAACAAGATGCCAAGGTTTCGGACTGGCTTAGCAAGCTGGAGTGTGACTGGAGTATGAAACCATGGATGGTGATGTTTTTGGTTGAGGTGAGGAGGCGCTGACGGGAGTGAATCAAGAAAGTCTCAGTCTTTTTGACGTTCAACTGAAGAAAGTTAACTCTCATCCAGGACTTGATATCCGACAGTCATTCTGTCAGGACAGCAGTGGGTCCTGGAGTTAAGGGTAGAAAGGTAGAGTTGGGCATCATCCGCATTCATGTGAAAGTTGACCCCATGTCTCCGGATGATGTCACCAAGAGGGAGCATATAGATATTGAAGAGGAGGGGACCAAGGACAGAGCCCTGAGGAACACCGCACGAGACCGTGCGGGGGCTAGAGGAGGAACCGTTTGTGGATATAAAGTGGTGGTGGTGTGAGAGGTACGATCTGAACCAGTGAAGGACAGAGCTGTGAAGATTGAAGTGGGATGAGGATAGAATGGTCAACTGTGAGAGATGTCAATAAGGAAGCAAAGGAAGCCCTGTTCGCAGATGGACAGAATGTCATTTGTCACTTTGGCCAGGGCTGTTTCTGTGCTGTGGGCAGCAGGGAAACCCCATTGGAGGGGTTCATGAAGGCAGTGGAGGAGAGGAAGGAGTGAGGCTGAGAAGCAACTCGTTCCAGGACCTTGGAGAGGAAAGGATATTTGGGAACGGGGCGGTAATTTGGGATTAGAGATGGGTCCAGGGAGAGTTTGTTAAGGATTGGAGTGATGACGGCGGTTTTTAATGATGTGGGAACACTATCAGAGGACAGGGAGAGATTCATGATGTCAATGAGTAGAGGGGCAAGGAGATGGAGCTGGGAGGTAAGGAGAGGGGTAGGAGTGGGGTCGAGGGAGAAGGTAGTCGGTTTCATGCTGGTTATAATGGTGATGAGAGAGGAGGGGGAGACAGGTTTGAAGGTGTGGAGGGGGGGATACGTAAGGGCCGGGGTGGGCGATGTTGATCTCAAGGGGGTAGCAAATGGAATGGCATAGGCAACTGAGCAGATTCCCTTGACTTTGGATTCCAGGAATTGTAGCATCGCCTAGAGGTTGGCATTTAAGCTGAGGATGAGCAAGGCGTGAGATGGTGGTGGAGGAGTAGTTCATGATGGAGAAGGGGAGCCTGGGGTTGTCCTTAGCCTCCAAGATTGTCTAGGAGTAGAACAACGATTTAGCGGAGGCGAGGGCGGAGCAGTAGGATTTGATATGGTCCAGCCAGATGTCCCGATGGATCGTTAAGTTTGATTTAAGCCATGTGTGCTCAGCGGCACGCAACTGTGCTTTAAGGGAGCGGTGGTGGCTGGTGTACCATGCTGACTTATATGGATAGGAGATGGTTTGCGAAGAGAGTGGAATCGAGAGTAGAGGAGAGGGAGCTGTGGAGAAGAGTGATCGAGGAGGATATGTCATGGTGGAAGGAAGCCCAGAGGGGAAGGAGTTCAGATGAGCAGGAGGGAGTGAAATGAAAGTTGAAGCCACCTAGGATGAGGAGGAGTTCGGAGCAGAGGGGCAGAGAAGATAGGAGGGTAGAGATGTCAGTGATGAAATTGGGGAAGGGCTTGGGGGCACTAGATTAGGAGAATTTTGAGGGCATGGTTGGAGTGGTGATAAATGGTAAGGTGCTCAAAGGGTGGTTGATGACTAACACGTACAGTGGGGATGGGATCAGGGAGGAGATGTTGGTCCCCATGGTCAGGGACCGGTGAGCCTTGTGGCGAGAATGGAGAACAGGGCAGTCAGAGAGGCTGCTCTTGGACAGGAAGCAACATCTTCTGCGGTAGGCCGATGGAGGTTTCGCAGACTGGAGCAGAGGGAGGCTGTGGGACGGTCGAGCAGGAATAGGAGTCGGGGAGGCCGGTGAGACAGGAGGATCGAGGGGGAATAGTGGAGGGCAGAGGACAGGGTTAGGAGCATTATGGAGAAGCTTGGGTGGAGGCGGTAGCCAAAATGCGCACACCGAGACGGTGGGGGTGTCAGCGAGCTTAGGTAGAGGGGACAATCTGATAGTCCCAGTCAGTCCAGGCTGAGAGATTCACCCCAAAATATTCAGCTATTATTGTACGTTCAAAGTTGTTTAAATCGTAGTCTTGTATTCCTTCTTTAGGATAGAATAAAACATTATTTACTGAATCCTACACTGTGAAGTGCTATAAGACATCCTCCTGATGTGAAAGACACTGTATCAAATTATTATATATAAGGTTTTATCTTCTAACCTCTATAAAATGTACAATATAAAACGTTTTCTCTTTTTTTCAGTCATCAAATGGATGTGGGTGTTAGCAACGAAATGGTCCGACCTCAGCCGCCTGCAGGAGACGGTAACTGTTCTGTCTCAATTAGCGATGCCACAATTTTGACCCCGTGCTTTCAATAACCGGTCACTGGGTCTCAGCCGAGCTCAGTCAGTGACCATCTCACCTCTGGCTCTGGGTGTCTTCACACAGAGAAACCCATCACTGTGCTTCAGAGCATCCAAACCAGACTGAGAATTCCACCCATGTAAATCACCTACACGTGGAAATTTCCATATATGGAATGGCTCACTCTGTCTGTCTCCACGGAGAGACTCATCCTGCTTACCTCATTTCAGAAAGTTTTCAGTTCACAGTAGCGAGAACCAAGTCATCGAGATAACTGCTGGAGTATAACCAGCTGAAACCACATAGCTTGCCATTGAAAGCATTAGATAATAAGCTTCCTGCTGCTTGTCCAGCTGGGACCATCCTCCCAGAGAGTGCCATATGTCTGTCACCCAACAGGAGCTGAGTGGAAAGAATCCTTGTGCCCATCGGGATGTTAAAGATCCCGTGACACTATCAGAAAAAGGAAGGGAGTTCCTTCCAATGTCCTGGATGACAATCCCTGGATAAATTGGTCCCTCATCTCACAGCTATTCCCAGGATCTGGGAGTTGGCAAAATACACCTGCCAAGTCACCAATAATATTTAGAAAAGAAAAATCTGAAAGCCAATGGGAAAAGGGGAGTGGGGCTAAAGGGAGAGCCTTTCAGAGCCTCACAGTCAAAGGGCCTGAATAATCTGCAGCTTATGGAGGGAAAATTTGGCAAGTCCGACAAGCAGGGAGTTGCGATAGTCGAGTCTAATGTCATTAATGTGTGAATGAGGATTTCGGCAGCCTGAGGGCTGAGGCCGTGGCAGAGTTGAGCAATGTTGCGGAGATGGGGAGGGGACAACCCTCAACCCATGGAGAAGAGGAGCCTTGGGTTGTGCTTGCCTCCAAGATTATCTTGGAGTAGAAGGATGAATTAGTGGAGGTGAGGATGGAGCTGTTTTGATGTTGTCGAGGCAGATCTGCCAGTGGACCATTAATTAGATTTGAGCCCGGTGCTTTCAATAGCACTCACCTGTATCTTGAGGGAGTGGAAGTGGCTGGTGTATCAGGAAAATGGGGACAGGACGAGGTAGAATGTGGCAAAGGGGAAGCTGCAGAGACCTGGAGAAGGAGCTGACTGTTATGTATCTGACAGACGCAGCTGCTGTGATCTACAGTGTGGTTACCCCAGCACCGGCCCGGCAAACAGATTCAGGTAAGAAACAACAAGAAATTACATTTGTAAAGCACCTTTCACGTCGGGAGGATGTCCCAAGGTGCTGAATAGCCGTGGATCAGGACCCGAGCGAGAGGGGAGCAGGGTTGGGGTGAGGGAGGGCAGAGAGGTAGGAGGACGGCTGAAGGCATGGACGTAAAGGAGGGCATTGAGGAGGCAAGGGAGGCTAAGGGATTGTGCGATGGAGTTCCAAAGGGTGGGTCAGAGAGGCTGAAAGCCTGGCCGCCGATTGTAGGGTAGGTAAGGTGGGAGCATGAAGTAGGCCGGAGCCTGCTGAATGGAGGGAGCAGACAGGTTGATAGGGGCTTAGCAGGTCAGGGATGTAGGAGGGAGCAAGGCAATGGAGTGTGGGGATGAGTGTGGAGTCCTGTAGCTCAGTGGTTAGAGCACTCGCTTTGCAAGTGAGAGACCTGAGTTCAATTCCAGGCAGAGGGCAAAACCTTGGGCAAGTTTCCTTACTCCACACAGAGCCTAATAATAATCCCTCCAAAAAAAAACAATAATAATAATGGTCATTTTCAATCTACGACTGTTTGTGGGACATTGCTGTGCGCAATTGGCTGCCGCGTTCGCCCACAAATATACAGTCAATTCACTTTACAGTGTGTTCTGTGAAGCGCTTTGGGACGTCCTCCCGACGTGAAAAGCGCTATATCAAATGCAAGGATTATTATTATTATATGGGGTTATGGAGCTTGGTGCAAATTGGCTGCTACATTCACCTAAGTCCTAACCCTGTGGTTGGTGCTCACCAATCCCCAGGCCCTGATATTAGAGTAGTATCAAGTCCAAATCACTTGCATTAGAGTAGCACCAATTGAATCCTGTCCCAGCTTTGGGGACTGAGCTTTAGACATTGAACCCCCCTCTCCGGATTTCTATGTATACTCTGTTTAATAACCAGTGTCATATTTTCTTTGTGATGTTGATTCCCATTTCTGATGGAAATATTATCAATATTGAAATTATTTACTAATAATTGTCTCTCTCTCCTTCCCAAGTGTACGCAAATTCCACCATCAGAGCCTCTGATGACAGTGAGTATTGTCAGCCTTTTCTGGTTTATTGTGTATCCAGTCGCCTCGCTGCTCGCACTCTGGCTCTGGGTCAGGAGGTTGGGGATTCGAGCCCCTAAATCAGGGCCCTCGAGCTCACAGTCCAGGCTGATGCTCCAGTGCAGTACTGGGAGGAGCGCTACATTGTCAGAAGTGCTGTCCTTTAATTGCGATGTTAAACCAAGATCCCGTCTGTATCTATTGAGGTTTTTTGGGTCAACCAACATCACCTTCTCAAGAGTATCCAAACCAGAATGAGAATTCCACATATATATGTCACCTCCACATGGAAATTTCCCTGTGTCTGGAATGCAATGTGCTGTTGGAAAAGGGAAGGGAATTTCTCTCTCCTGGTGTCCGGGCCAACAATTCTCCAAATAAAATTGATCCCCCATTTCTTGGCTGTATGTGGACATTGTTGAATTCAAATTAGCCGCCAGGTTTGCTGATAAAATACACAGTCACTACACTTGACAGCGATTTGCTTTGAGACATTTGGTATTAGAGTCGTTATAGTAAAGGTGAGAGTTCTTATAGACTTTAACGTGGGTCACACGTTATATCAGAGCTCTCAGCAAGTGGTGGGACATGTCCTGACACCATTTTGTTTCTCTTCCAGATGTGATTTATGCTGTTGTTGCCAACTCGAAGGGGAGATCAGCTGAGCAGTGAACACTGGTCCTGCCCAGAGTCTGCTGTCCGCCATTTATACAGGTGAGACCTGTAGTGACTTATATTGTGCCCAGAACAGCAGTCAATGCATGAACATTGTACAGTCCGTCCCCGAGAGCTCGGCTCATTATAGTCCGAGTGTGTTTATAGCGCGGCTGTGGCTTGCGGCCCTGCTATATGTGAACACGTTATTGCTGTGTATTCACGGGCGGCCCCGAGGTCTGCAATTTACAATTGTGTTTATCTCCACTTCAGGGAAATCAAAGATGGTGGCGGTCTGGCCTGGAAGAGGAAGAGTCCATTCCCGGTCAGGAGGGACACACTGCCACTTGGTGGCCATTCCAGCATTGAGTAGCCAATTCACACAATCATAGAATTATACACCACAGAAGGAGGCCATTCGACCCATTGTGTCTGTGACGGCTCTTTGAAACGAGCTTCTAAATCAATCCCCCTCCCCGCTCTCTCCCCATAGCCCTAAATAATTCTCTTATTCTCTCTTAATGTGCTATATGTGAACACGTTATTGCTGTGTATTCACAGGGGGAATCCACAGTGGGAGGACATCATTTACTTTTTTTTACAGATACTTTAAATGCTTCCCTTCAAATGCCGAGTGTTTATCTGGTCCAATAGAAAACTATGGCCGCACCATTCCAGGCAGAGGGCGAAACCTTGGGCAAGTTTCCTTACTCTACACAGAGCCTAATAATAATCCCTCCAAAACCAAAAACAATAATAAATTGGTCATTTTCAATCTACGACTGGTTGTGGGACATTGCTGTGCGCAATCGGCTGCCGCGTTCGCCCACAAATATACAGTCAATTCACTTTACAGTGTGTTCTGTGAAGCGCTTTGGGACGTCCTCCCGACGTGAAAAGCGCTATATCAAATGCAAGGATTATTATTATTATTATTTCCGCCACCACAACCAGCGACCGCCACAAATCCGCCATAAATGCAGTTTTCGGCCCTCGGAGCACTCACGCTGTATGTCTCTATGTCTTCGAGTGTGTGTATGTGTGTCTGTGAGTGTGGATTTGTCTCTGTGAGTGTGTGTGTGTCTCTGTGTGTGTGTGTGTCTCTCTCTCTGGGTCTGTGAGTGTATGTGTGTGTCTCTCTCTGGGTCTGTGTGCGGGACTGGTCCTGATAGGCAGAAGGTGGTGAGCTCCTGTAAGCTCGCTGGTGTTCCCCCAGCCCCAGTTAATATGGCCACACAATTTATGTTAAAGAAGCAATTAATATTTTTTGCAACAATATGTGTTATGTTTAATTTTTATCAATAAAGTGAAAAAAATGTAGCGGTAAAATCCACGTTTGCGGATGACACTCAACTCTACTTTTCCACCTCCAGCTGCGACCCCCCCAGTCCCCAGATGTTCTGTCAGTTTGTCTGTCGGACATCAGGAGCAGAATGAGCTCAAATTTCCTGCAGTTAAACATCAACAAGACAGAAGCCATACTCTTTGGCTCCCGCCGACGTCTTCTGTTCCGCGGTTCCAACTCCTCAACCTACCCGACCTGTTCTTAAAACTCTCTGAACCCGAGTGCAACTTAGGCATCAGGTTTGATCCCCAGTTATCCTTCCACCCCCACATCCGGTCTCTGACCAGCACCGCTTTCTTCCACCTCACCTACATTGCCCGTCTCCGACAATACCTCACCCCAAAAGCTGCCGAAATCCTTTCCGTGCCTTTGTAACCTCTCGGCTGGACGACAATAACTCCCTCCTCGCCGGTCTCCCCTCCTCCACTGTCCACAAAATCCAACTCATTCAAACTCCGCCGCCCGCATTCTCACCCACACCAAACCCCGTCCCCGATTACTCCAGTCCCGGCCAAACCCCACTGGCTCCTGTCACGGAGCGGATCCACTTCCAGATCCTCACTCTAGTTTAAATCCCTCCATTCCTTGCCCCCCATCTCTCTAACCTCTCTCCCCACAGCAGTACCCACTCTACTGGCTCCGGCCTCCTCCGTGTCCCCCGAATCCTCCACTCCACCTCGGCGGCTGTGCCTACAGTCACTACGCCCCAAAACGTTGGAACTCCCTCCCTCAACCGCTTTGCCTCACTTCCTCGTTCCCCATCTTCAAGTCGTGCCTGAAGATTTTCCTTTTCGACCAGACCCACGGTCATCTTCCCCCTGGTTCGACCTTGTGCTCCACCAGCAATCTGAGAAGCAATCTGGCATGAAGAGCGCTGTATAAGTACAAGTTGTTGTTGTAAAAGCTATTATGGAATCGGCTTCCCTCAGCCTTTCAGGCAATGCATTTCAGATCCCAACAACTCACTGTGTGAAAACATTTCTCCTCACCCCCCTTCTGTTTCTTTTAACAACTATTTTAAATCGGTGTCCTCGGGTTACCAACCCACCCGCTCATGGAAATAGTTTCTCCTTATTTACCCTATCAAATCCCCTCATAATATTGAAAACTTCTATTAAGTCTCCTCTTAACCCTCCCTGCTCCATACTCCCAGCGTCTCCGGCCTCTCCTGATCACTGAAGTCCTCATTCCTGGTACCATTCTGGTCAATCTCCTTCGCACCCTCTCCAATGCCTTGACATCCTTCCTAAAGTGTGGGGCCCAGAACTGAACCCAGTCTCTCGCTGAGGCCTAACCAGTGTTTTATATAAAGGTTCATCATAACTTCCTGACTTTTGTATTCTATGCCCCTGTTTATAAAGCACTAATATCTTGCATGCTTTTTAACAGTTGTATCTACCTGTCCGGCCACCTTCAAGGATTTACTATATGACCCCCGGGTCTCTCTGCTCCTTCCCCCCCCTTAAGATTGTACCATCAGTTTATATTGCCTCTCCTCATTCTTCCTCCCAAAATGTATCACTCCTCACTTCTCCACCTCTCTGCCCATGTTACCCCAGTCTGTCTGTGTCCTCTTGCAGTCGGCTACTATCCTCCTCACTATTTACTACTTTTCCAGCTTAGTATCATCAGCAAACTTGGAACTTGTATTCCGTATAGCCAAGTCCAGGTCATTTATATACAACAACAACAACAACAAGATTCCATTTATAAAGCGCCTTTCACGTCAGGAGGACGTCCCAAGGCGCTGCACAGTTGGGTCATGACCCGAGCAGGGGGGAAATGGTCAGGGTGAGGGGAGGGAAGGGAGGGAGCGAGGAGGGGGGAAATGGTCAGGGTGAGGGAGGGAAGGGAGGGAGCGAGGAGGGGGAAATGGTCAGGGTGAGGGGAGGGAAGGGAGGGAGCGAGGAGGGGGAAGAGAGTCAAGAGGGGAGCTGAAGGCACGGTCAAAGAGAAAGGTTTTGAGACCGGCCTTGAAGGAGGAAGCAAGGCGAAGGCATTGGGGGATAGAGTTCCAGAGCCTCGGGGCTGAGAGGCTGAAGGCCCGACCACCGATGGTAGGGCGGTTGGGGCGGGGGACGTGGAGCAGACCGGAGCCAGAGGAACGGAGGGTACGGGCAGGTAGGTAGGGGGATAGTAGGTTGGAGAGGTAGGAGGGAGCAAGGCCGTGTAGGTGAGGATGAGGATCTTGAAATCAATCCTCTGGGGGATGGGGAGCCAGTGGAGGCGAACGAGGGCGAGGGTGAGGGTGGGAGTGATGTGGTCCCGAAGCCTGGTGTGGGACAGTACACGAGCTGCAGAGTTCTGAATGACCTGCAGTGTGGAGGGAGGTGGCGGGAAGGCCGGCGAGGAGAGAGTTCCCGTAGTCCAGCCTTGAGGTGACAAAGGCGTGGACCAGGGTTTCAGCAGCGTGAGGGGTGAGGTAGTGCCGTAGTCTGGCGATGTTCCGGAGGTGATGGAAGGCGGTGCCAGTTGTGGTGTGGATGTGAGGGAGAAAGGACAGCTCAGGGTCGAACAAAATGCCGAGGTTCCTGACCGGCTTTGAGAGGTGGAGAGTGCAGCCTTGGATGCTGATGCTGTCAGCGCCTGAGGTGTGGAGGCGCTGACGTGAGCCAATCAGGAGGGCCTCGGTTTTTCGCACGTTGAGCTGAAGAAAGTTGTCTCTCGTCCAGGACTCGATGTCGGACAGGCAGCTGTCAGGACATCGGTGGTCGTGGAGTTGAGAGTAGAGGAGGAAAGGTAGAGTTGGGTGTCATCCGCATACATGTGGAAGTGAACCCCATGTCTGCGGATGATGTCACCACAGGGGGAGCATATAGAGGGTGAAGAGGAGGGGACCGAGGACAGCTTATTGGCCATTAGTTCCTGAGTTTATCCTTCTGCCCCTTTTGGTACAGGGGAGTAACATCTGCAACCCCCTAGTCCTCTGGCACCACTTCTGTGTCCAAGGAGAATTGAAAAAATGTGGCCAGAGCCTCCATTATTTCCAACCCTACTTCCCTCAGTAACCTAGGATGCATCCCATCTAGACTAGTTGACTTATCTACCTTGAGCACCGTCAATTTTTTTAGTACCTCCTCTTGGTTTATTCTTATCTCATCCAATGTCTCTACCTTCTCCTCCGATACTATGGCCTTGGCTGTATTCTCTTTTTTATTGAAAACGGATTCAGTACATCAGCTATGCCCTTTGCTTCCACAAGATTTCCTCTTTGGCCCCTAATTGGCCCCACCCTACTTTTGACCAACCTTTTATTCTTTATATGCTTACAAAATCAATTCACTTTACAGTGTGTTCTGTGAAGCGCTTTGGGATGTCCTCCCGACGTGAAAAGCGCTATATCAAATGCAAGGATTATTATTATTATTATTATTATTAAAATACCTTAGGGTTTCCTTTTATGTTACCCGATAATCTTTTCTCATACAATCTCTTTGCCCCTCTTATTTCCTTTTTCAGTTCTCCTCTGTACTTTCTATATTTTATTTGATTATTTTCTGTATTTTGGGTCTGACATTTATCGTAATGCTCCTTTCTTCTGTTTTATGTTAATCCCAATTTCTTAAATCATCCAGAGAGGTTTGGATGCCCCACCTTTCCCCTTTGTGGGAATGTATTTGTTCTGTCCCCATCTATCTTCTCCTTGAAGACTTCCCATTGTTCATAAGCTGTTTTTCCTGCCAATCTTTCTTTCCAGTCCACCTTGGTCAGGTCCCTTTTTAACTCACTGAAATTAGCCCTCTTCCAGTTGAGTATCTTCATCTTTCTTTAATTGTTGCTTGTCCCTTTCCATAAGTACTCTAAACCTAATGATGTTGTGATCACTGTTGTCCAGATACTCTCCTACTGAAACCTGCTCCACTTGCCCCACTTCATTCCCCAGAACTAGATCCCGCACTGCTTCATTCCTCGTTGGGCTGGAAACATACTGACCCAGTAAGTTATCCTGCACACATTTCAGGAATCCTTGCCCCACCTTGCTCAATCTCTCCCTGATTCTAATCTGTTAGGATAATTGAAGTCCCCCATTATCTATTGGTTTTGTATCTTTCTGAAATCTGCTTGCAGAAATGTATCTCCTTCCCACTATTTGGTGGTCTATAGAATGCACCTAACAGGGTAACAGCTCCTTTTCTGCCTCTTAACTCTAGCCAAGTAGATTCTGTTTTTGGACCCTCTAGCACATCGTCTCTTTCCAGAGCCGTAACTGTGTCTTTCATCAATATCACCACCACCCCCCACACCCTCCTTTTATTTTCCTTCCCTATCCCTCCTGAATACATTGCAATAATAATAATAATCCTTGCATTTGATATAGTGCTTTTCATGCCTTCTGTGGAGTCCTGTAGCCGGGGTCCTACTTACTGCTAGGTACACAAAAGCGTATGGAGTAAGGAAACTTGCCCAACATTTCCCCTGCTGGGAATCAAACCCAGGTCTCTCGCTTGTGAGACGAGTGCTCTCGCCACTGAAGACTCCAGTTAGACAGGAATAAATAGCTCCCATACCTGCTCAGGTCTCTGTTATTGCCACTACATCATAACACCCGGGGAGGGAGCGATTTGGAAATGGTTTGCGGTCAGATGAAATCATCTCCCGGGCCGGATATCGATATATCACTGGAGCAAAATTACTTGTACCGGAGGAAAATGTCCTCAACCTGTTAGGCCATTTCTCGTGATGAGCAACTTGGTGGCATTTTCTCTCATGACACAGTACATTCTAGTGACCCTGGAGGACTCATCGTGAGAGAAAATTCTGCCGAGTCACTCGTTTAGTGAACTATAATAATAACAGCCTTCATTTATAGACCACCTGTAATACTTCACAGCTAATAGCTGGAAAATCTGTAAAATATCTGTATCTTATGAGCCGGTCTGGTTTTATAATCTCTATGTTCTGAAATACAGCAAAGTCTCATGATCAGTGGTCTGCTAGCGAGGGAAAAAGTCACCCTCAGTGTGCTGGTCTGGATTAGCTATTGTGACAAGATCTCAGGTTTTAGCCGTTGACTTCAGTTAGTTTCTGTCTGATTGTTAAAGCCTGAGTAAGTTAAGGATGTCAAGACCTTCCTCATTGACTATGCCTTCAGTCATCCTCACCCATTCCCTTTGATCCTCCACCCCTCTTGACTCCAACCCCCATCTCGGTTGCAAATCTTTGACTGTCCAGCTTCTTGGGAAATCCTCCCGATGTGAAAGGCGCTGTGTAAATCCAATGCATTGTTATTTATGTTGTTGCAACAAGTTTTCGTGAAAGACATTTTTAATTAGAACAAAGCCAAATGCAATTCACAAAGTGCTCAACAGGGAGTGTAAAGCTGAGGTTGCAAAAAGAAATTTGTGTCCCAAGAACACCCCTCAATTTGTGGCTGGTGAACAAGGACAAAATCCTTGGTGCTTTCAATGCATAGATATTCAGTGTGAATCGAAAACAAATGCATTTGTCCTCTCACAGTGATATTGAGAACTATTTATTGGCAGTGTTTATTGGCAACATGATTTTATCGGATATTTATATATCGGCAGGATATGGAGGGTTGGAACAATAACTGGGAACAGGGATTCTTAGCACAATCACACTCTGTGGTCCCCAAGCCATAGCTCTCACCAATCTATATTTTGTTCTCCGGAATTAGGAAATTAGGGAGCGTTCCTCCAGGGAGAGATTGTGCATTCCCCAACACAGAAAATAAGCACATTTATAGATACTTGTGCGTATGCATAAACTTATGCTGTACTTAATTAACGTAAACATGATTTAACAAATAAACTGACAGTCGTGGGGTCCTGGGCTGCTCTGTCGTGCTTGACAGCTGACTGCTCTGCGCACGGCAGTGTGAGTTGGTGTAGCATCCTCCCTCGCAGCATCCCCTAGTGACAGTGAAGGTCTTGTGCTGCATAGTCACCTTGCATATAGAGTGACTGAGCTCTTTTCCCTTAGAGTGATGAAATGGCAGGATTTACTGTAATAAAAACTTAATAATAATACATTTAAACTCTGGCTAGCCAGCTAAGGGGGGAGTCAAAGCCAATGGTCCTGGTCACTGTGAAAGTCAGCAAGGAAGGTGAGATGGGGCATATGCTAGGAGAGGTGGGAGTCAGGGTCTACATGTAGACCATGGAATCTTTTTGTTTCAGGCTCGGTCCGGCTAGGTTGAAATTCTGCATTCCCAGAGTCCAGGGTTTATTGAAATATAATAACAACTTTAATTTATATAGAACTTATAATTAGTTCACAGATGATTGCTGGGTATTCGAAAGCAATCTGTCAAATATCTGTATTTTATGAGCCAGCCTGGCTCATTCGCAGGACATATAGGGGCAGATCAGACACTGGGGGCAGGGAATCATCCCACTCATCTCCTGTTAACCCTGCAAGCCAAAGCCCTGATAGATAAGGTGGTCCTAGTCAGATAAGCAGTGGGGAATCTTGCCAGACAGCGATATCAATGGCTGGTTACACTTCAGAAGTTACCCCAATGCCCACTCTGGAGCCTTGACTCCTGTCAGCCTACATCCAATATTTTCCAGAATTAGGTAAGAAGGTGCGTCCGTCCAGGGAAAGAGTGCACATTCCATTCCAGTAAATATCTCTGGAATTATAATAATAATAATCCTTGCATTTGATACAGCGCTTTTCACGTCTGCTCGATGTCTCAAAGCACTTCACAGAATAGACTGTAAAGTAAATTGACTGTATATTTGTGGGCGAAACACGGCAGCCAATTGCGCACAGCAATTTCCTTGTGAAGGTAGGATGCTCTGGTTTGGTTTGGATACTCTTAAGCATGGTGATGGGTTTCCCCATGTGTCAGATACCCGGCTGACCAAAAAATAATCTGTAAGAAGATAATAAAGGTAATTGATTAGCGGTTCAATGTTGGAATAAGGGTAAAGTTTGAAATATTTTAAGCCTGGCACTTTGTTACTTGGTGACTGTCCACTAGACGGCAGTGTTCTCCTCCTGACCGAGAATGGACTCTTCCTCTTTCAGACCAGACCGCCACCATCTTTGGTGGTCCTCTCCCACACCAGGCTCTGTGACAATCACCCCAGCTCTTGCCTGGACAGCCTGTGATTACACAGCAATACCACAGCGCCTATCCCATAATATTTTCCCTATAAAATAAACCATCTCCATTGCTTCATAGATTAAAATTGGTTTAACACTCAAATGAAGTGAGCGTTATAATAATCCTTGCATTTGATATAGCGCCTTGTCACGTCTTTGAGATGTTTCAAAACGCTTCACAGAATATACGATAAAGTGTAGGCAACTGTGGCTGACAATTTGCACACACAGTGTCCTGCAAACAGTGTTATAAAAATTTCCTGCATTTGGTTGGACTATAAATTGCATTTATATAACGATCTTCATATGAAGAAGTGTCTTAGAGCGGCTTGATGTCGAGGTAGGGAGAGTGGGGAGGTGACTGCAGGCATAAAGAGGATGGTATTGAGGTGCAATCTGAAGATGGGCAAAGGTGGGGGCACGGCGAAGGGATACTGTGCCTCAGCACAATAACATAACATTTAGGAGCAGGAGGAAGCCATTCGGCCCTTCGAGCCTGCCCCGCCATTCAATCATGGCTGATCTTCTAATCTAGCTCCAGCTAATAACCTGACCCTGCCTTATCCCCATATCCCTTAATCCCTTTTGCAATAAGAAATATATCTATCTCAGTCTTGAATATGTTCAAGGACTGAGCATCAATAGCCCTTTGGGGTAGTGAGTTCCATACATTCACTGCCCTTTGAGTGAAGAAGTTCTTCCTCAACTCAGTGCGAAAGGGCTGCCTCTGATTTTAAGGTTGTGACCCCTGGTTTTAGTTTCTCCAACCGGGGGAAACAATCTCCCACTGTCTACTCTATCATTGCCCTTTGATGATCTTATAGGTTTGTATATTCTGGAGAACATAGGCCCAAATTGGTCAGCCTATCCTCGTAACTCATCCTCTTCATCCCTGGTACTAACCGAGTAAATCTACGCTGCGCCCCCTCCAAGGCAAGTACAAAATGACTGCCAATCCCACTTCTGGGTTGTCAGGTTGTGGTTGATGTAACCTCCTGTGTAGTGAAACAGCTGCACTATAAACCGCTCAGGCTATAACTCACAATGCTCCGACTGTCAAACTGTACAATGAAGATTCGTTGACTAATGTATTAGGCACAATTTAATTTACTGCAGGTCTCACCTGTATAAGTGGCGGACTGCAGACTATGGGCGGGACCAGTGTTCACTGCTCAGCTGATCTCCCCTTCGAGTTGGCGACAACAGCATAAATCACATCTGGAAAAAAAAAACAAAATGGAGTCAGGACATGTCCCGCCACTTGCTGAGAGCTCCGATATAAAGTGTGACCCAGGTTAAAGTTTATAAGAACTTGCACATTTAATATAACGTCTCTAAGGTCCAAATGTCTCCAAGCAAATCACTGTCAAGTGCAGTGACTGTGTATTTTATCAGCAAACCTGGCAGCCGATTTGCATTCAGCAATGTCCAAACAGCCAAGAAGTGAGTGACCAATTATATTTGGAGCATTGTTGGCCAGAACACCAGGAGAGAGAAATTCCCTTCTCTTTTCCAACAGAAGGATTCCAGTCCATTCCAGACACAGGGAAATTTCCATGTACAGGTGACATAGATGTGGAATTCCCAGTCTGGTTTGGATACTCTTGAGAACGGTGATGGGTTTCTACACATGGCCAAAAAACCCTCAATAGACACAGACCTCAATCAAAGGACAGCGCTTCTGATAATGTAACGCTCCTCCCAGTACTGCACTGGAGCATCAGCCTGGACTGTGACCTCGAGGTCCCTGATTTAGGGGCTCGAATCCCCAACCTCCTGACCCAGAGTGCGAGCAGCGAGGCGACTGGATACACAATAAACCAGAAAAGGCTGACAATACTCACTGTCATCAGAGGCTCTGGCTCTGGCGGAATTTGCGTACACTTGGGAAGGAGAGAGAGAGAGACAGTTATTAGTAAATAATTTCAATATTGATAACATTTCCATCAGAAATGGGAATCAACTTCACAAAGGAAATATGACACTGGTTTTATATGTACTGTATATGTGTCCTCACCTTGGTGTAATATTTCTCATACTGAGTGTGGTGAGAGTATGCGATGCTCTTCAGAAGTGGAATGAATCGTGGTTTAAAAGGTATTGACGGATAAAGACTTGGACAGGAAGGGGATGAAGGGGCATGGAGAAAAGTCAGGGATTGAAAGATCTGTCATGATCCAATAAACTGGTGGAGCAGGCTGTTGGGCTGAATGCCCTCCTCCTGCTCCAACTTGAAGTTCCTCCGGGATCAAACATTGCCATGGGGTCTTTAATGTCCACCTGAACAGGCAGACAAGTGTCAGAATGGATTACGTGAATGGAAAGATCCGATGTGGGGCTTGAAACCACAACCGTTTTGTTGAGAGTATTGCCAACTGAGCCAGGCTGACAGTTAACCCTGGACAGGAGAGGGAAGGCAGATCCCTGTCGGCTGAGGTGCGAGCCAATGCCGGCTCCGTCCCTGTGTGATACATTTCTTACCTGAATCTGTTTGCCGGGCCGGTGCTGGGGTAACCACACTGTAGATCACAGCAGCTACGTCTGTCAGAGACACAACAGTCAGCTCCTTCTCCAGTTTCCCCTTTGCCACATCACTCAGAGGATCCTGACCTTCAAAGCCCTCCACGGCCTCGCTCTTCACAAGCTCTGTGATCTCCTAAGCCCTTTCCAACCTGACTGCTACCTCGATCAGTGGGTTCCGACCTGCTTCACGTCACCCACCTTGCTCGCCCCACCATTGGTGGGTGGGCCTTCAGCTTCTTCGCCCCCACCCTCTAGAACTCCATCCCACAGTCACTCCACCTCGCCCCCTCCCTTCAAGCCCATCTCAAGACTCTTCTATTCGATGGTGTCTTCAGTCACCCCACTAACCATCCCCACCCTCCACCCCTCCTGATGCCAACTCGAGTGCGGATCCCTGATTATCCAGCACTTTGAGACGTTCTCCTGACATGAAAGACACTATACAAATGTAATTTGTTGTTGTTTATACAATCAGAATATTTATACCGAGTTGGAGGCCATTTGGCTGTTGCCCCTTTTCCCATTGACTCTCAGATTTTTCTTTTCCAAATATAATGTTAAAAAGTCTCAAAACAATAATTGGGCCTGGATAAACCATAAACTGCCTCATCAAACAGCCCAAAACTCTTACATTCTGAGGCAGAGGCAGAGTCTCTTTGGGCTTGAGCTGGCTATAAAGTGACAACAACAAACATATATAGTGCCTTTCAAGCTGGCACTGACCAGAGATGTATTGGCAACTGAATCAAATCCACCCTCTGTGGCAGTCTCCAGACCATTTAGCATAGCATTCCTTAGCCATTAGGGCATAGATGGACAAGGCTGGGTGTTTTTAAATGACTCACTTTGGGCCTCTGAGAGGGTACATGTGCCAATATACCCTCGCAGGGTTCCTGAGCCAGGCAAGTCTGCAGTAATCTGTGGCCGTGCTGATGACAGCCCAGTCAGCCAGGCTCATTGGCAGGGCTTGGAAAGGCAGACCAGTCACTGTTAATAGGGATTCTTCCCATTTGGCTCCTGCTAAGTGACATACGTGGATGCTCTGCTCTGGATGGTCTTAAGCACGGTGATGGTTTTTTGTGTGTGTCAGACACCCAGAGCCAGAGATGAGAGGGTCACTGACTGAGCTCGGCTGAGACCCAGCGACAGGTTATTGAAAGCACGGGTTGAAAATTGTGGAATCTCTAATCGAGACAGAACAGTTACCGTCTCCTGCAGGCGGCTGAGGTTGGACCATGTCGTTGTTAACATCCAAATCCATTTGATGACTAAAGAAAGAGAGAAAACTTTTTATAGTGTACATTTCATAGAGGATGGGAGATAAAACCTTATATATAATAATCCTTACATTTGATACTGTGTCTTTCACATCAGGAGGACTTATTATAGCACTTCACAGGATTTAGTGTAAAATTCACCAGCCAATGTGCACACTGCAACTTCCTCATAAATAATCATGAAGTATGATTAAGTTTATTAGGGGATTGATGGCCAGGACACTGGGAGAAACCATCTTCTCTGAAGGGTCCAAGCCTCAGCTAGGCCACAGCCTTGTGTGCAGTTCTGGGAATGCATTTCAGGAATAATAATAATAATAATAATAATAATAATAATAATAATAATAATAATAATAATAATAATAATAATAATAATAATAAGGAAGGAAGGATATAAAAGGCACAGACCAGGTGTGGTGGAGATTCAAGAACAGGAACTTGCACTTATATAGCGTCTTTCATGTCAGGGATCTTCTCTAATCACTTCACAGAGAAGGAGCAGGAGTCGGAAGTGTGTGGGAGACCGCGCAGTCACAATCGATGGAACCATCAAAGAACCGGGTTTTCAAGGTAGAAAGCGAGGTGGAGAGGTTGGTTTTAGGTGAGAGTTTTAGAGAGTGGGGCAAAGTGGCTGAAAGCAAATGGATTCACTGGGACGTCCTCCCGGCGTGAAAAGCGTTACACAAATGTAATTTTGTTGTTGTTCACTAGGATATGACCACAGAGCAGAGGGTCGGTTATGAAGGGACTCTTGAGGCATTGGGTCTGAGAATGTTAATGGGTCACAAACTTTGCATACAGTTTTGGGCTCCCATTCTGTTTCTATGGTTGATGGCATGGGAGGTTGGGCATTTTCACAGGAGCTGAGAGGGTTAAGCGGTGGCCAGATTGAGTTTCAAGATCAGAAAGGGGCACGATAGGATAAACAGTGAGCGATTATTTCGCTGATCAGAGAGTCAGTTATTTTGGGATTCCTTAGCTACTAGGGCATAGATAGGCAAGGCTGGGTGCTTTTAAAAGACTAACTTAGGGCCCCTGAGAGGTTACATGTGCCAATTAGTGTTAGCAAAGGAAAAGATATATTGGCTTGACCCCGGCTGAGATCAGGTTCTGGTAACTTTTCCCTGGCTCGGTGCCTGAGACCCATTGCCATCCTCCCATCTAAGAGTTGAGTAATCATGTCCTTGAGCACAGGTGTGAAAACAAGGGGGTCGCAGAGAGAAGCCTACTCCTGGAAATCTGATTTGCTCAAGACTGAAAAACAGGAATCCTCCCAATTAACTGTGCATTTCTCTTTCTCCTTATCAGTTATAAGGAGCTCAAGCAGCTCAAGTTTTGCTACCCGCCTGCGCAGGGAGGGGGCTATCTCTGTGACAACAACAACAACAAAATTACCTTTGTATAGCGCCTTTCACATAGGGAGGACGTCCCAAGGCGCGGGATAGAAGAGTTTCAGATCCAAGCTGGGGGTCAAGGTGGGGGAGGGGGGAGGGCGGGGAGAAGAAGGGAGATCGACAGCACGGTCAAGAGGAGGGTCTTGAGGTGGGTCTTGAAGGTAGCGAGGGAGGGGCGAAACAGGGGGACTGCGGGATGGAGTTCCAGAGAGTGTGTGCAGAGTGGCGGAAGGCCCGCCCACTGATAGTGGTATGAGTAAGGCGGGGGACGTGAAGCAGGCCGTCGCCGCTGAGCAGACGAAGTGAACAGGGTGGTAGGGGGTTAGGATGTCGGAGAGGTAGGGGGTAGCAAAAACATGGAGGGCTTTGAAGGTGAGGACCAGGATCTTGAACTGTATCCTCTGTGTGATGGGAAGCCAGTGGACTTGGGCAAGGATGGGGGTGATCTGCAGCCATGGAGGGAGGAGTTGGGGAGGCTGACAAGCAGTGAGTTTCTCAGTCGACATGCTGACCAATGCCACACAAGCTGGTCTGGGGTCTAGAGGAGAAGCCATTTGAGGAGAAGTGGAGGTGGAGTTAGAAACACATAAAAGAAAGATACAACTTTGAGATAGTTGGAATTGTGTAGAGGGTCAGCACATTTTCCAGTGGAATCAATATCGATTCTATTGTATTTATTGTCTCAGTTTTAAGAATAAGTTAAGCTATTTGTATTAATGAATAAACCTTGGATTATTACATGACTGTATTGGTCATCCCTGTTCGAATCTGTTAGGGTGAGCTGAACAGCTCAACTCGTGTTGGAGCAGCTCAACCACAAGAGACAAAAAACCCTCCCCCAGTTCCTCTCCCTCCAGAATCATTGTATGCCTAAACAAAGGCTTTAGGATGAAATGGTTTGGGATGATGGTTGCTGGAAGATATTGCGTAGAATCCAGGTTTGTGAATATATGTTCCTCTCTTTCACCCACAGAATATACAGTCAACTCACTTCACAGCATATTCTGTGAAACGCTTTGAGACGTCTCATCATAGGGAACTTCTTTCTCCTCATAGGGAACTGAGTGTATCCAATGAAAGAAAACCACAGGATTTACCAATCACCTATTATTAGACATTCTGTGCTGGTTCAGTGAGTTTATCCAGTGACCAGTGAGCGTACAACAAACCAGATTGGTAAATTCCAATCCCAAGCGACTGATAGGTTAGTGATCTCAGCTGGGGACAGCACGAGGCTTCAATTGGCTTCAGATTCAGTTGGATAAAAGATTGGGGAAATGAAAGAAAAGTTGATAAGAAATGTGCAACTGATCATTTCATTGTGCAAGGTTCCGCAAACAAAGGTTGTGTCACAAGTATCTTACCAGTAAATGACGCAAACAACGGTTGTGTCACAAGGATCTTACCAACACCACTTATTAAATTTAGTAAATGCTAAATTTAACATGAACATGCATCACATGTCTTATGGTTATTTGCTAATTTTCTCTACTTCCCTTTTCTCGCATACAGCCTTTCCCCAGTACTTTTCTCAAATGGCCATTGTTGATGGGTGTTTGCCAGTCAGTGAGTGACTGCTGTGTAGTCAACCCTACATGTGAATATGAGGCAGGAGAATGGCACTAAACAGAGAGCTTTTCCTGCGGACATGATAGGCTGATGAATGGTCTCCTTGTACTGTAAAATTTCTGGTTCTAAGTGACACACAGGCTCATCTTTACTGAGGCTGAGATCAACAACAATAAGAAATTATATTTTTACAGCGTATTTCACGTCAGGAGGACGTGCCGAGGCGCTGAATCTTGTGGGGACTCGACCTCAGGCTGTTTCAGAGAGGATTAGTGATCAGTTATTGTTGATTCATTGTTGGCTAGATAATTGTCAATGGCAGGAAAATATAAAAGGGAAAAAACGAGCAGTCAGTTGAGGGGCAGCAGAATATCTCAAGGTGGAGGATCAAAGTGGTTGCTGTATTAATTTGGTGGAATTTCTGACTAACTTTCCATAACTCTAATGATTTTACACTATGTACGTAGATAGTCCTGCATGGTCTTACTCCTCCCTACCTCTGCGACCCACTGAAAGGTTAAAAACCTGGCTGTTCACTCTGCTTGGCAGGCACTGACTTGCTCCATTTCCCCTGCCCTGCCCGCTTCACTATCGGTAGTCAGGCCTTCAGCCTTCAGGCCTTTCTGTCACCACCCTCTGGAACTCCATCCTGGAGCCCCTCCATCTCACCCCCTTCCTGGCCTCCTTCAAGATGCATCTCAAGACCTTCCTCTTTGACTGCTCCTACATAAGAACATAAGAATTTGCTTCAGGATAGAAGACCAACACTGACTGGCAAACACCCATCAACAATGGCCATTTGGGAAAAGTACTGGAGAAAGGCTGTATACGAGAAAAGGGAAGTAGAGAAAATTAGCAAATAACCATAAGACAACTGATGCACGTGCATGTTAAATTGGTAAGATCCTTGTGACACAACCGTTCGCCTTCCACCATCTTGGCAATCCTTGATACTGTGTGTCCCAAACTATATATTGTACCCTGAGATATTCAGCTTGATATTATTTTCTAGCAGAAATCTTTTCCCTCCCCAAAAATGTGGGGAGGGAGGGGTCAAGGAGGAAGGGTTGAGGGATTTTGAGGAATAACATTTTTTGAAATAATAATTTGATTTGATTCAATCCTGCCTAAAGTCTTTACTTTTTGCCTACCGTGCTTACGGTCAATTCCTTCCTCCCTCTCCCCCTGGCTTGGTGTCGGACTCCACTACTGCCAAGCGCTCTGGGACATTACCCCGCATGAAGGGCGCTATATAAATGCGAGTTGTATCTAATTCGTTCTCGAAACAAATGACATTTTCTGCTTCCACTGTCTCCTTAAGGAGTCTGTTCCATAAATTTACTGCTCGCTCACTGAAGCAGTATTTCCACAGATTGTTCTGAATTTAACCCCCTTCAATCACAGTCCGTGACCTCTGGTTCTACTGTTCAGTACAAGATAAAAGAGCTTGTCATGGTCTACCATATCTATTCCTTTCAGAATCTTAAAGACCTTAATCATATTGCCTTTTTATATTGCGGTGACTACAACTGCACATAGTATTCCAGTGCGGTTGCACCAGTGATTTATAAAGTGGCAGGATTACCCTACTATTTCAGCTCAATACTGCCCTTTTAATGCAACCCACCATCTGGTTTGCTGATCAGTGTTGCGATAGCTTCAATTTATTGTCAATCGGGATCCCCTGGTCCTTTTCATTTTCCGTACAGATTATTTTCAGGGACATCCTCCCGACGTGAAAGGTGCTATACAAATGTAATTTTGTATTGTGTATTGTATTTTCTTACCATTTAAATAATAGTCCCTTCCTGGATTTTGTTTTGTCCCCATATTTGCTAGTTTGCTAGTTGATTGGGGGATCACTTTTCCAGGGGTAATAATCCCTTCAAAATGAATAAATAAATAATTTGGTCATTCAATCCACGACTGTTTGTGGGACACTGCTGTGCTTAATTGGCTGCTGTGTCTAGCCCACATACTATACAGTCATTTCATTTTAAGTATATTCTGTGAAGGGCTTTGAGACGTGTCAAAGATGTGATAATGCGCTATATCAAAATGCAAGGATTATTATAATAATTACTAAAGGACCAACATCACGCTGTTGAAAGAGACCACTGATGTCACTTCCCTTATTAGCATGCTTCTCTTTTGGCTCAACGTGTTTTCCAGTGAATGGGTGAACGTAGAGACCGGTGTGATCGCAGGTCCAAACCCCGAGAAAACGATTTAACTCATAGCTGCGTGTGGGATTTGTGACTTTTTTGGGAGGTGGGTTAGTAAGTAGGGTCTCCTTAGGGATGAGCGGGCTCTAAGGTGAAATTTGGCAATGGCATGTCGGAATATAGTCCACCCTCTGTGGTGGTCTTGGTAGTCTAATTCCACACAACCTCATTCTCTGCACCCAACTCCACTCTCCATACCCCATTCTCCACACCCCATTCTCCGTAGCCCACTCCACTCTCCACACAATCAATAGCAATTAGCAACTTGAATGTGAATATACAAGTAAAGGGATTTCTCACCTCTGTGAACACTGGCAGCAATGTCCGACACCACCACCTGAAGAGATCAAAGAAAGATGAGAGATTGCTTTAGACAGTTTGCTGATGACCTTTGTTCGTGCACATTTTATTCCAGTGAAAGACTTGTGGCAAACTCTCCTTTTCCTGTTGTGTGGTGTTACTGAAGCAGGAAGCCAGGCTCATATCACCATCCAAAGAAGCCATTAGCTCAACTATGTCTGTGCTGGTGCTCTCTCCCCCACTGGTGGTCTCTAATCCCACCCCCAGTTGCGTCTATTGGTAGTCACTGGCCACTGCTCAGTGTGCTGAAGAAGTGCCGGTGTAAGTGCCGGTAATGAAAGTACTCAGAGGCTTTCACCGTCTTAATCCAATGCCCATTTCAGCAAGATCACCATACATTTGCATTCACGCTTTGAGCTTCACATCATTAATTGCTTTGTGATTTTTAAAACAGTACAATTATCAGGTTTCTGAGTGATTCTGTATCTCTCTGTCTACCTTTCCTTCTCTGGCTGTCTCAGCTCTCCCTCACTCTGTATTTGTCAGGCCTTCAGCCTCTTTACCCCCATACTTTGGAATTCCATCCCACTGTCCCTTCACCTCGATCTCTCCCTTACTTCCTTCATGTCCTGACCCTTCGCTTTGACCACACCTTTGGTCACCCTCCTCTCTTTGGCCTCCAAACTCCCTGATCCCAATCCCCATCTGGGGTCCAGATCACTGACTGTGCAGCCCCTTGGGCCATCCTACCTACGTGAAACATAGAAACAGGAGTAGGCCATTCAGCCCCTCCAGCCTGTTCCGCCATTCTATAAGATCATAGCTGATCTGTACCTCAAGTTCAATTACCTGCCCTTGCCCCATATCCCTTAATACCTTGACCTAACAAATAGCTATCTACCTCAGTCTTCAAGATGTGAATGTGAAAGGTGCAATGCAAATGTAATTTGTTGTTCTTGTTGCATGTGGATAATGGGAAACAAGGATATATATATCCACTGCATGGATCGGGATACCCAGTGTGTGGATAGGCAGCGCTATACAGTAATTACAATTGAAAGTGAATGTTGTTATGGAGATAACCGCGGCAGATAATCTGCTGAGCCAGAGGTGAGAGTGCGAGCGGCTGAGACAGACTCACTTGGAATAAACATTACCTTTGTCTGTAAACACCTACCTCTCTTTACCCGCCAGATAATGATGGCAGTCACCAGAACGAGCAGCACCACAATGGATACCACGATATATACAGTACGACCACCATTGCTCTGTGGTCCAGGTGCGAGGATGTCTCGGGTGTCTCTGCCCTGTGTGTTCTCAGCTACACAGCGGTAAGTTCCCCTCAGCCTCGGGCCCCGGATCTCCCCCACGGTTTGATGCTTGTCCGGTACATGTGTGACTGGCGTGTGGCTGGTGTTAATGGGCAGCGTGTTATTCTTGGGGTCGATCCACGTGATGTTGGCCGGTGGTTTCCCCTCAGCCGTGCACACAATGTCACCTCCAGCCACGAGGGACAGACTCAGGATGACGGCCGGAGCTTCAGGTATAAAGAAACACAGATATTCAAACCAAACAACTGTCCCCATCGTGTCTGTGCTGGTGCTCACTCCCCCACTGGAGCTCTCTACTCTAACCCCATTCCCTGCTCTCTCCCCATCGTGTCTGTGCTGGTGCTCACTCCCCCACTGGAGCTCTCTACTCTAACCCCATTGCCTGCTCTCTCCCCATCGTGTCTGTGCTGGTGCTCACTCCCCCACTGGAGCTCTCTACTCTAATCCCTTCTCTTTTTTTGTGCATTTTCATGTTGTTCACAATGTTCCATTTTAAACACTTTTCAAAATTCCTTTTTCCAATATTCAAGTCCATTTGGGTCCCAGCACCTTCGGAATTCAACCTTCACTTCAGCCCTCCTGCTCTACCTCTGCTGACTTCTCCTCCCTAACCTCCTCCCTCAACCTCTTCCTCCACATCCCCTCCATCTCCCACTTCCGCGGTTACCCTCTCGTCTTGGTCATCACTCAGGGCCTCACCATCTCGGACCTCACCATCACCGACAAAATCATCTCGGACCATCACTTCATCTCATTCAACTCCTCAATCCCTCTTCCCACCACCATTCAATCCATCCCACCTCAATTTCCTACCGCCCCTGGAAAACAATCTCCCTCCCAGCTCCCTCTCTGCTGCCTTGGTGTCATCTGAACTGTCTCGATGCTCTGCCTCCCTTGCCTCTTTCAAGGCCAGTCTCAAGACCCTTCTCTTTGGGTCATCCTCCCACATTTCTATCTTCCCTCACCCCTTCATCACCCATTCCCCATGCTCGAGCTCCGTTCAGCACTTTCAGTCATCCTCCTGATGTGAAAGGGCCTCTATAAATGTGATTTTGTTGCTGGTGTTCTTTAAGGATAACATCAGATGAACCTTCTATCTAGACCAATCCTGGATCTAGTCAAAAACACATTATTTATAATTGTCAAGCTTCCCGCTGCTTGTCCAGCGAGGATCACCCTAGGCTTTAGCTTGTAGGGTTAACAGGAGACAAGTGGTAAGAAACCCTGTCCCCAGTAACAAACTAAAGTCTCCGCCTTTTGATACCATGTTTCTTGTGCTAATTAACACATGACAAACAGGGTAAGGAATGAGACAAACCTCGTCTGTAACATTGCGTCAGTGATGACCTGTTCATTCACCCCTTTCCGTGTCCCACAAAGACAAGAGATCTCTTACCAACAACCAGCAGCTGTGACATGTCCTGTGTCACCTGGTCCTGATGGGATCCTTCCATAATAAACATGACGTGTACGTGACAGAAATACCGTCCATTGTCGTTTAACTCCAGGCCCCTGATCTTCAGGGAAGCGTCTCCATCTCCCACATTCCTGACCAGCTTGTAGCGATTTCCTTCATTCACTGTCTCTGACTCCCTGGAGTTGGATCGGTCGGCGAGGCCAAGAGTGTAATTAAACACCAGCTGCCCATGTGGCCTCCCTCTCCTCCAAAGCACTGTGACTGTGGCACGATTCTGGTATGTGTTGGGGATGGTGAAGGAGCAGGGCAGTGTGGCATCACCTCCCTTGGTACCAGTCACTGACCGGAGCTTCTCTTCATGACCTGAGACAGGAACAGGATTGGAATAGTGCAGAGCAGTCAGTGTGACAGAGTACATGTTACACACTGTGAAATCCTGGATATGTTACCTGCTCTTCATGGCACCATCTCCCTCAGGCCTGTGCTCCTCACTCACCCTCTATGAGCCTCTTGGAAGCACAATGTTTCACAGTCTAACCCTGTTTTTTTATAGCACTAATAACATGATTACTGGCAAATGTAGGAACTGTTTTGCAGCGAGTTTACTCAGATGAAGGACCCCAATGGTTATGAAGGCTCTGGGATGCCGCCCTGTACAAGGGGTGTTGTATAAATACAAGTTATTATTTTTGTTGAACAACCTAATTCAGGTGGAGGATTGTTGGTGTAAACCCAAGGAGAAAATCCCTCCTCATGTGTTGGGGCAGCTGATTTCCTGATACATACAGAAATCTGTCACTGTTGTAGAGAGTATCTAAAGCAGAGAGTGAGTACTCCATATATATCCACTCTGAGTATCTAATTCAGAGAGTATTATGCACATGTTGGCAAGTGCAAGGCTTGGGGACACCAGAGTATGTGTTTGGGGCAAATTGGAGCAAAAACAGCATAATAATAATAATAGTAATAATAATAATAATAATAATAATCATAATAATAATAAAAATAATAATACATGCATTTGATCTCAAATTGTTGAGACATCTGAAAGCGCTTCACAGAATGTACTGTAAAGTGAATTGACTGTATATTTTGTGGGAAAAATGCAGCAGTCAATTGTGCCAGCAGTGTCCCACAAACAGTCGGTGATTAAGTGACCAAATTATTTTTAAAATTATTTTTCGAGAGATTATTACCCCCAGAGGTGATCCACCAATCGACTACCAATCATGTTCCAATTCATTGCTAGGTAAACAGAGGCCTGTACAGTAAGGAAACTTGCCCAAGCTTTCTCCCTGCCGGGAATCAAACCCAAGCCCTCTCGCTTGTGAGGCGAGTGCTCTAACCACTACACTACAGGACTCCACAGCACAGTTGGCCAGTGACGGCACTGTGTGGCAAGCTTCCTGCTGCTTGTGTAGATCTGTGGTGTTATTGAGCTGAGTGGGAATGGTCGCGCCCAGTGACTGGTCTGCCAATGAGGCTGATGCCAAATCAGCAGTGCCCTGGAGTACTGCGACCGCCTGGCTCAGGAACCAGACTAGAGACCCCCACAGAGGGTTGACTCCTGCCCGACGTCCTGTGGCCTGGTATGTCACTGTGGAGCCAGTCCCTGCTTTACACCGGCTTTTTTGTGGTGGGAGAACCTTACAGGGAAGTTTGTGACCTGCCAGCCACCTTGATGACACCCAACTCTACCTTTCCTCCTCTACTCTCAACTCCACGACCACCGATGTCCTGACAGCTGCCTGTCCGACATCGAGTCCTGGACGAGAGACAACTTTCTTCAGCTCAACGTGCGAAAAACCGAGGCCCTCCTGATTGGCTCACGTCAGCGCCTCCGCACCTCAGGCGCTGACACCATCAGCATCCAAGGCTGCACTCTCCACCTCTCAAAGCCAGTCAGGAACCTCGGCGTTTTGTTCGACCCTGAGCTGTCCTTTCTCCCTCACATCCGCACCACAACTGGCACCGCCTTCCATCACCTCCGGAATATCGCCAGACTACGGCACTACCTCACCCCTCACGCTGCTGAAACCCTGGTTCACGCCTTTGTCACCTCAAGGCTGGACTATGGGAACTCTCTCCTCGCCGGCCTTCCCGGCACCTCCCTCCACACTGCAGGTCATTCAGAACTCTGCAGCTCGTGTACTGTCCCGCACCAGGCTTCGGGACCACATCACTCCTACCCTCGCTCGCCTCCACTGGCTCCCCATCCCCCAGAGGATTGATTTCAAGATCCTCATCCTCACCTACAAGGCCATTCACGGCCTTGCTCCCTCCTACCTCTCCAACCTACTATCCCCTACCTACCTGCCCGTACCCTCCGTTCCTCTGGCTCCGGTCTGCTCCACGTCCCCCGCCCCAACCGCCCTACTATCGGTGGTCGGGCCTTCAGCCTCTCAGCCCCGAGGCTCTGGAACTCCATCCCCCAGTGCCTTCGCCGCTTCCTCCCTTTCCTCCTTCAAGGCCGGTCTCAAAACCTTTCTCTTTGACCGAGCCTTCAGCTCCCCTCTCGACTCTCTTCCTCCTCCTCGCTCCCTCCCTTCCCTCCCCTCACCCTGACCATTTCCCCCTCCTCTCTCCCTCCCTTCCCTCCCCTCACCCTGACCATTTCCCCCCTGCTCGGGTCATGACCCAACTGTGCAGCGCCTTGGGACGTCCTCCTGACGTGAAAGGCGCTCTATAAATGGAATCTTGTTGTTGTTGTTGTTGTTGTTGATGTTCTCGAGATCCATTGCCACGTCCCAGGCTTACTGATCACCAGCTTCTGAATCCAGGTCCTCATGTGAGGGGCCTCGGCAAATAGACAACCCCACAGTGAGGCCGCCTCAGCCTCCAGGTGCTCAGTGACAGGTCAGTGTACAGCACAGCCCTCCCTCCCTGCAGCCGCTCACTCACTGTCACCTGTCAGCTCCCTGCTACACACCGTCCATCACAGGGAACACTGGCTCTCTATTGCCCGTCCTGGGACGGGACACTTCCCACTGACTCCGGCCCCAGTGAGGAACGTCACGTCTCATTCCCACTTCCCATCGTTCCTCACCTGTAACAATCAGACGTGTTCTGGGCCCAGTTTCAAACTTTCCGTCCTCACCCTGGAGCTCCACACGACAGGACCACAGCTTATTATTGTCCTCTCCCCTCAGTTGGTTTATCTTTATTGTAGCGTCGTTCCTTCTCGGGTCCCCAATCACTCGGTGTCGCTCTCCCTCGTTTACATCAATAACATTTTGATACTTTCCCTGTGAATCCGGCCCATAATTTGTATAATTAAAATGCGCAGGACCAGTCCAGTCTCCCTTCCACATGATGGTGATGTTCCCTGTGTATCTGGGGTGAGGGTGAGTGAACTTGCAGTACACGGTGACCGGTGACCCTAACCTGCCGGTCACTGTATCGGGGGTCTCCATCGTCCAGTTATTCTCACTGAGCCCTGTGAGGACAGACATGGTGTAATGTGAACCAGAACACAAATATAAACACAACAGGTAACACTGAGCTTGTACAAGAGCTTGGTTAGGTCACAGCTGGGAGTATTGTGGACAGTTTTGGGACCCCCAGTAAGAAGGATATAAAAGCAATGATAAAGTTGCAGTTTGGTGATGTACTCAGGGATTAGGGTTTTGAGTTACTAAAAGAGATTTGAGAGGTTGGGGCTTTTTTTTCGAGGGCTGAGAAGGTTAGGGGTGACCTGATAGAGGTCACAAAGGTTCAGAGATTCACAAAAATAGATTTATCCTCTCCTCAGCCAGTCAGGAATTAATCTAAAACCATCACAAAAAAAGA